CCTCAGATTAACATTTCTTGTTCGTCTGTGAAGTAACTAAATATTGTTAAGTGTGTCGCAACCGCCCGGTCTGTTAAAATGTGCTTAAAGTTAAGAGTCTACTCGAGGAGCACCTGCTTGTGTTTGTCTGCTCACAGAACGGCAACTAGCTGCTCACTGTGATAACATACTGTGATGGTTGCGTAAAAGCAAAAAGTGAGGTTAAACTGTAAATTATCAATTAAAGATTGATTAGTTTCTAATTGTCCGTGTAGGCACATTTTGTTGGATTTTAATCCTTTAAAGTTGAAACTTGATTAAATAGAAACTAATTGCCATGCATAATTATGTTCGCGAACTGGAGTTACCGGGGTTATGTAATCTTTACTATATGCTACTCAATCTTTGATAGGGATAGTCCTTTTATTACACGATACACTAACTGATTATTTACAATATGCTTAATGTATATATTATGTTAACAGATAGAGGATACCACAGCTCAGGGTATAATACAATAATCGAATACATGTATTATAACTCCATCGGAGTAAACTGCCTGGTACATAAATATTGGATTGACCAAAAAATACAAACGTTATCAAAACGTTATAAGGCTGAAAACAGACGCCGAAACGCCGCCAACGTAAGGTCCAAAACACAACTACGCTACCCGTATCAAAAACATCCCCATCGAATAACCATTTCTTGTTGGTTTCATTCTTTACCACCATCAAACATGGGTGTATACTTCTTTTGCCCGGTAGTGTATATCCAATACCGCGGTCGACGTATTGCAAGTTATGTGCGATATTTCCGTTTGGGAAACATTCAAAGTTTCACTGCTGTCGTTTTATGATCGAATTAATTTCACTATAAAAATATTATTTCGTAGAAAGGGCATACACGATTGTACGTACCGACTGGGGGTGCAGGAATATTGCTCGACATGAAGGGAAAGTTGACTATTGACTATTGAAAGTTGAAGTCATCCCTCTTGTCATACAGCCTTGTCTATACTTTATTGTCACTCTGAATCTTTGAGTAAAAAAATAACCGTTGCCGTGTCTTTGGAACTTTGTAGAAAATTAAATTTGTTCAATGAAGACTTGGGTAAGAAATGAAATTGCAACCACATGACCCCTACTATGTTTTAAATGTCGTTAGTTTGTTAGTGAGTGACTATAGTTTTACGCCGCTTTGAGCAATATTCCAGCCAAATCACGACGGGGGACGAAGGTAATGGGCTTCACACATTGTACCCACATGGGGAATCGAAGACCAGACACACAGTAACATACTGTAATATTCCGTGCAAGTTCAACTCTTTGCATCAACCGGCAAGTCATCAGGCGACATATTACACCTAACCACGACCTCCCACTTAACCTCAAGTAGGCCTGTGTAGGGCAGTTAGTCACATGTAGGCAGCACGGTCAACTCAGCACAAAGTCACATAAAACACAGTTTCTCATCACTTAAATTTTTTTTCGAAGTAGGTCGATTTAATTTTTTAGTTTATTTCGATTTATCAACCTTCTTTCAATGCAACAATGATTTCTGATGGTCAGGGCGGGTTACGTAAAAAGGTGGAACTTTCGAATGGAAAATGCGGAAACGGATTTTGGCATGACAAATTTCGACTTGAAGGTCGGGCCGGTTTTTAGCGTCTTTCTTTGATGCTATGAGAAACAACATGTTGTTATATGGCCTTAATTCAAACGGTTTCTTATGTTCTTTTATCCCGATGCTCATCCGTAAACGGCAGGTTTCGTCTCACTGTGTGGGTACATACCTTATAATAAGCTATGGAGCAAAGGAAACTATGCATATCAGTTGATTTTATCAGAATCTTTGATCTTCAGTTAAAAATGTCTTTCGTTAGCGACATTATATCTAAAAGATTGAACTGTACTGGCAAGAACTGAATTAAAAACCGTAGCTTCCATCCTTCAACATAAACGTACGTCAGTCGTAGTACTAAGATCGTTTTTGTGAAACGAGTCCCTGCCACCGGTGGGGCAGGATATGCTTCGCGAACACCTGGTATAATCACTAGTTGATAATGATTCATAAACACATACTCATGATACAGTCGGAGCTGTGCGGTCGACTGCTTTTGGCAGTGATTTCTTATGTATATGGAAAGGGTTTTGTAGCTTTTGTTTACAGGTGACCATTTGCAATAGTGTGTCCCTCTGTGTGCGTGGAATCGCGGGTTCGAAAAAGCGGCGCTGAACCCAACTCACTCACTCACTGTCCCTGGCATCAGTGATGAATACCGTTAACAGCCGCGATACCCGAATTTACAAGCCTGAGACGTTGCACACGATACAATTTGCGTGCCCATCTACTACTCAAAATAAGTTAAGGATCACGAGATTCTTCCCTATTCCTATGACAGATTAATTGTAGTTATGGAAAACAATCGGGTGGTTCTTAACATTTTTAGTAGTATATCTTATAGTGTTGTTTTGTACTCGCAACTTCATATTCCTACTGTATGATCGCTTCTGTACCTGAAACTATTCTCCGTTAATGGAATGAAAACATTTCTGTGACAACAGGCGCCACGCGTCCTGTTTTCGTTCATTCACGCACGTCACACATCGTACACATTGTGAAAAAATTCATATAAAAGATTAGTATGAATGACTGGTGTTTGTCTGAGCTGCTGCACGCATTCAACATACCATGAATGATGATGTAATCATACCCCTACGATCCTCGACCAGGGCGACAACACATGCACGGAGACCCGTACTGTTATGTTTGTGATGTATAAATCTACACACAGGTCGACCCTGAAACCCAAGACCCACATGTAGCAGACAAGTGTATTAACCCTGGGTCTGCTGCAGGCGACGTATGCCACCCAAGGGAACTTTTATTTTATCCCCTACTGGAGTAGGCAGAAAGTGTCCCACCCGACTTTGAGTAATAGTATTGAACAGCTGGTTGATGTTTTTGCAAGGACTCAATTTTGGTAAAAGTCGAGTATACGAATTCTGGGGAAATAGTTTGATTTTTGTTCCTGTTTAACATATGACTGTTTGTTAAAAGATAAGGTCATCGTGGGTTGGCAAAATACCCTTTTTTAATTTCCGCTTAATTTGGAGCTGTTAATGACCGTGCCTTACACCCAAACCGTCGTTCCCAAATAACAGATTGTCACTTTTTCTCCTTGACTTTCGCGAACACATGGTGTCATCACTGATTTTCAGTGATCCATTAATATAATTTCACCTCTATTTTGTCTTTTAAGGCCAATTGGAATCTGTTTCGGTGGATAACCGAGTCTAATTATTCTCGTTATGCGTTGACGTTATATATAAGACTTGCATCATTACTTATCTGCAGACCCGTGAAGATCCAGGGTAGAATAGGTCATCAGCAACCGATGCTTGGCGTGAAAAGCCACTATGCTTGTCGTAAGAAGCAGCTAACGGGATGGGGTGGTATGGCTCGCTGACTTGGTTGATGCATGTCATTGTATCCCAATTGCGTGGATCGCTGCTCATGATATCAATCACTGGATTGTCTGACTCGATTATCTACAGACCGCCGTCATATAGCTGGAATATTGCTGAGTGAAGCGTAAAACATCAAACAAACTAACAAACTGATCTGCAACTGTGCATTCACAGGAACTTGTAGTAATACCAGAAAGTTCGGTCTGTTGTCTATGTCAATGCTAGTTTATGTTATCCCGATTTGCCGGCAGGGGTTTTTACTCGCCCTCTTCCTGGCAACAGGGAGACCCAGGCTCGTTTCCAAAAAAAGAGACACAATCAGAAGAAGAAGGGTGGTTCTAATGTATTTTTATTGACCCGAAGGTCAATCAGTGATGGACCAGGACTCTAGCCACTAATTATAACATCTTACAGCTTTCTATGACAGAACTAATTACTTCCTCCACTTTAAACAGAGTTAGAATTTACGACCACACACACACTCAAAAACCCCAATGTAATAAAACATGAAAAGCAAGTCAAAAACAATCTCAAATAAAAAAAAACGCTAAAAACTAAGAGACCGCTCCAACCGAGTTCATGCCAATTAAAATTATTTTATTATAATAATTAACTAAGTTAAACAAAGTTTAATTATTTTTCGACCTGCACAAGCGAGAAATCAGTAAATCATGAAATTACATGAAATATACACGAGTCTTTTCATTGTCGTGTCCTGGGGAATCTTGAGTAATGATTTGGGGGTGCGGCATGAACATGGGGGTCCCGGGCCGGCAACACGTGACACGCTTCACGTGAATTCCAGGCATTCTACTGATGTGATATCACTGCATACCTACTGACATCACTGGAGCGGTGGGGTAGCCTGGTGGTTAAAGCGTTTGCTCCTTACGCCGAAGACCCGGGTTCGATTCCCCCGTGGATACAATGTGTTAAGCCCATTTCTGGTGTCCCCTGCAGTGATATTGCTGTAATACTGCTAAAAGCGGCTTAAAACCATAGTCTCTCACTTACTCACTAATAAAATGACCCTATACATGCTGTATGACTGACAAGTGTGGATTTGACGTTAACTCACCTAGACGAAGTAAGTGTCACAGGCGGCAATATTCCAGCTGTATCACGGCTGTCTGAACTAGCCATAGCAATAACCGCCGACATGAACTAGCTTCCAGTCTGTGAAATTTTATGTTAACAATAAATATGTCAGTTAAAAAAATGTTTTAGTTATGATTTCGTAGTTTTATCATCTGGCTTTGACTAAATGACATGCAGATGTTCGTCAGTCCCCGTGCATAACAGCTTACACAACACAATAAAGAAAAATATAGAATATTAATTATTGTAGAATAGGCATCGGTAACTCATATAAATAACTTTTTGAAATATTCTCACCAAACCAGAAATATACAGCTCTGTATTTTTGTGAGTTTTTAATACCTAGAATAGGTGCTTTCTATTTAGGACAAGGCCATAGATTCATTCATACGTCATCAACCCCAGTTGTAAATGAACGGCGCCCTAAGTAGTACTTTTGCGGCGAGTGGTTTTCGCGACGGTACAGCAGTCTGTCTCTCGACCGGCAGATAAGCAGGGAGGGGGAACAGCCGGGGTGATATGTTGATCATGGCGACAAATTAATGTGTAAATACTTGAATACTTGACATACGTTTCATCCATCTGTTCTGACAGAATGCCACGGGCGCTGACATGTGACGGCCACACCTTTCACTCTCTCTGAAGGGCAGGGACACAGACCCACCCCCGGGCTGAACTCGTGGGGATATGCTGGAAGGAGGCACGGAATACATGTACCCGCCAGAATCGTGATCTACCCCAGGGAATTATTTCAACATGGTGTTCAGGGTGGATTCAAACAATCCCCGCCCCCGGGGAAAACCGCAGGGTGAATTTGTGGATGTACGCGACAGTAGAAATTCCCATCCCCTGGGATTTGGAATATGGAAATATGTATTGTGCGTCGTTGTGTTATATGTGGGTATACCCCAGGGTGGGGCCCAGAACGCTAACCACATCGTTCTGACCCCCCTCGGGAGGGGAGGGAAGGAGGTGGCCCTGCTCATTGTACCTGAAGTTGGATTAGAGAACACGGCGTATGAAGAATTAGGTAAGAGTTTGAAATCATTCCGACATGACATACTATATGTACCACAATCATGCTTGATGCGAAAGGAGAAAACGTTAATTCTTTATCCATTATTGCGATTAATTTAATTCTCTGTCGTCAATGTACATTCACTTTGAATAATTTGTTTTAGTTTAACGCCGCATTCATCAATATTCCAGCTATGTGTCGGCGGTTTGTGAAAAATCTAGTCTTGACCAGACATTCCAGTGATTGACGTCATGAGCATCAATCCACGTAATTCGATGTTATCAACCAAGTCACCGAGTCTGACCACCCGATTTATTTTGTTGCCTCGACAAGCATAGATTACTATTCTTAACCGGAATCCCCGCGCGATCTCTTTGAATATAGGATATTTGACGAGTTGAAATCATGATATGGAAGACAATGAAACTCTAAATTAATCAGTATCTGTTTGAACGAAGTCTAATATACCGATCGATGAACTATGATGCAACCCTAGTCTCCCGATGCCCTAGAAAAGTGAATTTTGGATACAACGAACTGGTTTCAAAGTCCCTGACAATGTCATATGTGTTTCATGAAAAGAAATAGTTTGTAGAAACCCATCATTTCCACTTGAGGCAGCTATAAAAGCTACTGTGTTACCCAAGTTTATGATTACAATTGGTTTTACAAACACATAGACTTCCACAAGCCTTAACAGAGAAAAAGATCAACACACGTTTTCTGACAATTAGTAAAAATAGACATAATATTAGTCGTCGGCTTACATAACTTTACTTTTCCAACCGGCATATTTCCAACAACCTCTCCAATCTCCCATGCCTACGAGCACGTGCCTGTGAATTTATTGCTACAAGACGCGTGCTGTAATCCAATCTGAGAATGCCGAGGTCTCAATATGGTACACGTGTGGAAAACTCCGGACGGAAAACAATGCAATTATTCACATTACCAAACTATTTAGAGTCAATATTTGGGTGGGCACGTGTTTAGACTAAACATTTAGGATCCAGGAAAGGAAATTCGTGTTACATTATTGTTCGCATACATGTAAACGAGTGTATCTTTGGACAAGCAACAAGATCCTTTGAGACGGTAGACTAACATATAGTCCATGAAATCGTTTATTACAAAATACATATCTCTCCTCTAAATTGTTTTTTCCCGGTGCTGATTTCATGTGTTGCCCATAGAGTGAGTGAGTGAGTTTGGTTTTACGCCGCTTTTAGCAATGTATCAGCAATATCACGACAGGGGACACCAGAAATGGGCTTCACACATTGTACCCAATCGAACCCGGGTCTTCGGCGTGACGAACTACCCGTGTGGCCTATGGAATAGAGCAGGAAATACTTCTTTTCATATTATCTGGTGATTTGTTTTCATAAAATACATCTATTACGCAGTCATGATGCAGGACTATGAATAACACCGTGACAGGAATGTCCTCCGTGTTCCATGCGTGTCCTAAGAGCTGTCTCATGTAGACTTGGTAGTTACATTGTATGACCTGACCGATTCTTTGTCATGGTGGGTGGTTACTCTTGCCGCCAACCACTGGTTCGCCAGGTCAGTATCATGTTTGTTTGTTTGTTTGTTTGTTGTTTAACGCCGCACTCAGCACTCGGTCGATCCACGCAATTGGGATACGGTGACATGCCTGACCACCCGATCCCGTCAGTCGCCTCTTACAACAAAGGTTACGGCAGGCATGGATTGCTGAACATCTATTCTAACCCGGATCTTCACGCGTCCAATATTATGGTGTATAGTCTAAAGGTGTAGGAATTACTATATATATTGTCGCCTTTGGATTGACAAAGCTTACATAATTAGTGTTAATTAACACAGTCTCACGTGGGGGCGTTGGTCAACCCCTTGTTTATCTGACACACACTCAATTATTTACAAACCGTTATGATATAAACTACCGGGCGGAAGGAAGGATACACTAAAAGATTACGTTATTAGAACGTTACTAGGCTGAAAACAGCTGTCGAAACACTGCAAAAGTCCATTACTATGATACCTGTAGCAAATACATCACCATCGAATGACCATGTTTGTATGCACGTGTGACTTTGCTTGATTGAAACTAATCCCTTTTCTTGGCTTATCCTCGAGATGAAGTAATGAGTGTCTCTCTTCAGCACCACAAAGCAGTTATCATGTTTTGCCCTACGTTATGATCAAACTGTATCATATACGATTGCACGTTCGCGTCAGTCCTTGACTACAAGGGTCGTGAAGAAGAAGTGCTGGCTGCTTGTACTCGTCCGGACTAATGCCGATGATAAAACCATTGCAGCTCAAATACAGCCCGAAACAAGTCTGAGAAATGCTCTTGCTACTCCAGAGAGGTGAGATGAAATGCGGTTTAAGATAAAGGCACTTATATAAAGACGTGCATGCACGCGTGTGTGTGAGTTTGTGGCTGCTTGTACTGTCGGGACTAATGTCGATAATATAGTGCTAGCCCACTGAGAGACCATGCCGCAGTTTAACATGAATACCCCACTCAGACACAGTATACTGACTCCGAGCCGACCAGACCTTGTTTTAGGCCCTAATGCCGAGCGCAGGGTAACAACAAGTACCATCTTTTAAATTCTTTTGGAATGATGCGGTCGGTGATCGAACCCCGGGCCTTCCACCATGGAGGCGGTCTACATGGGCTGGAATAACCTCACAGGGAATGTCGTGCTGACAGTGTACTTCCCGAAGATGAAGAATGTCGACGGCATAACACTGTTTAAGTGGTTCTCTTTTGACACTGATCAGTGTTTGTGAAAATAAAACAAGAAAAGATTTATTATCAAGGGTTCCTAATATAGCCGCGCAACATCTCAGTGGATCAGCTGGCAACAGAATATTGTTCCAGGAGAGAAAGAAATCGCATCTTAACAACATGCGCGTTCCCTTTTTGTTGTTTCTGTTGGAAAGACAACACTGGTGACGTCATACTTTGTGCTTATTAACCTTCAAGTTATGCGTTAAATGTTGCTCTATTGGCGGATAGGATATAGACACCAGTTGGTTACATACCGGTCAGAATAGGTGTCAGTAGCAGACTAAGTAAAATCAAGGGGTCATAATGGGAGACTTGGATGATGTCATAGTGCATGAGCTTGGGTCGTTGCTCATGCTATTAACCACTTCCTGGTCCATTCTCGATTATTTACAAGATGCTGCCACGTAGCCGGAATATTGTCGACCCCTGCGTAAAAGAACATTCTCTCAGTTTTAAACAAGATGAGGGCGTGGGTGGCACAGTTGCATACGGACCCGCAATTCGTCCCTTGGGTTCGAATCCCGGTTCGCCCCGATTATGTTTCTAGGTTTGTCAGTATCATACCCGTGCTCGTTGGTTTCACCAAAGTGGTAAACGTCTGAGACCTGCATCTTTTCGGGCTTTCCTCCCACATTAAACTGACACGCCACGATATAACTGGAATAATGTTAAAAGCAGCGTTAAACACAACTCACTCACTAACTTTAAAGTGATACTTTGCGGGAACAAATAACCACCTGTTGAAACCTATGGCTTAAACATTACTTTGCCTCTTTGTCTCGGGATTTTGAAAAGGTTCGAATCCGCGGACACTCCGGATCTAATCCTTGGCAACTTGGAATAGATAATTGTGAAAACTGACTAGTAGCTAGAACAGACATTTGAGTTGGGCGTGTTACTGGTGCATACAGTGTGCACAACCTAAATGTTTGGTATCCCCATAAACGTGTGTTGCATGACTTGCTAGTCATGATTGTGTAAACGTTGTTAAAGACAGACACCAACTTTAGGCCTAATAAAGGTTTATTTTGGCTCTGATTACACTTAATTTAAAAAAAAGGGGAAAACTGTGAAGAAAGTTAGCAGTTTGGGGCAATCTCATTAAAATCAGATCTTAGTTCTCGCTACCGCTAAACAAAGATCTGAAGACATCCCATTACGACCGACCTTGCGCGAACTTTGACCGACCAATGGAATGACCAATGAGAAGGCAGCTTCCTCGTGCTTACGGCACTAATTTCAAATTGGCGACTACGCTTCGAAACATATTTTGACAAATTCTCGATTACAAATTTGAAACCTGAACAAAAGAACATTCTGGAATGGCTAATAGATGGTCTAGATTGTATGGATTCAGTCGTTAAACCTGTAACTATCGTTCGGAGTTAAAGTTTTCGAGTTTGCAGGATTAAAAATCACATTCCGACTGTCACTTTCATAATCTGGTAAGCGATGCTCTGATTGGTCGGATGAAAGGTCGTTCTGACGTGACCCTTAATGGGATGTCCTCAGATCTTTGTTTAGCGGCAGCGAGAACTAAGATCGGATTTTAATAAGATTGCAGTTTGGGGCATAATGTTTTTTGTGTGTGTTTTGTCTTTTGTCACAGAGAGTGCTGAATTAGCGTCAGCACAATAAACTAGGACCGGACCTTTTATGTTTTATTGAAGATACCGAAGCTGTTTTCATAGGGAATCTGCAACCCTGAACTTACAAAGATTAAAAACCTGAATCAATGTTTCACTTTAGACATCCATAAAAACACGTTAGAAAAAAATCATACTTACAAAAAAAAGTAAAGGTATCAAGTATCATCCTAACATTTTTTTATGATCCTGTGTAACATGTTCGTCTTTTGAAGTTCAGTTTAAACCTCATTAACTCACATTTAGTGAAGTTTGAAGCACAGCCCTTGTATTTAATTCCGTTGCTAAATTGGGTACCAATATCCTTTGACGTAATGTTGTACAATGTGTGAAGGCAGTTCTAGGTTCTCGCCGTCGCGATATGGTTGGAATATTATGTTGCTAAAGGCGTTGCTTTATCTCATATCAAGTTACCCCGAAAACAGTCAATTTCACCCATCCAAGGTAATTTGAGATATTTCAACATGACGTTCATGACCATTAAAAGAAATTAATGTGATATAGTCTTGCTTAAACTTATTTCTTGTTATGCGTTAACTGAAATGTCGTTTGTTTGTTGTTTAACGCCGCACTCA